CAGAGTGTCTGGAGTCATCGTGATATCATTGTGATGACTACCGTAATTTTCGGACTATAAGCCGCGCCTTTTTCCCTATTTTTCGACGCTGCGGCTTATATAACGGTGCGGCTAATCTATGGATTTTTACAGCTAACGGCCAACACCTTTAACTCTATGGGCTCTATGGCCGGTCCGCGGACCCCCACCTTTAAGCGGCGGGTTCCAGCAGGAAAAACTGGAGGCCGGAAAAGAGTGAGACAGGTAGCGCGCAAAAGTAAAAGTGGAACCGAGAGTGATATGCCGCTGCTGCGGCTTATATTCAGGTGCGCCTTATAGTCCGAAAACTACGGTAATACATTGCACAAGCAACGAAGGATGGAACCCAATGCAAACAAACATGGCAACAGGGACATTTCAATGATTTATTGCCAAAGGAAAGGTATATAATTTATTTGAGAAATAAAAGCTTACATGCAGGTACTACCTCCGGGACTGGGTCAGAATAGGGTCATGGAGGCTTGATAGAACAACAGTGCTACTTTGATGAAGGGAATGAGTGGAAATGGGCAGGTTATATACTGGAGGCCTGGTCTTCTAAAATGTACTTTCCCATAAAAAGACATGCCAAATACGTTTTGGAGGAACATATTCTCTCTGTAGAGGGGTGACAGAGAGGCAGGATTTGGCAGAGGGACGGACAGGGTGACAATAATGTCTTAGGAGTTCCATGAGAAATGTTATCTGTTAATATCAAATATTTTTGACATAATAACTTGCTAGATTGACATATTGGCATATTCAGTCTGATGGTCAGGGTACATGTCAGAACCAGTACCAATCAATGAGATATATTGTTTGAGACAAGGGAGGATCACCCATCTCTATCACCCTTAGTACAACAGCTAAACCTCTGCTTTATTTTTTCATAAATCCCAGACTCTCTTTCTATTTCTTTTTATTTTCACATCATCTGTCTTTTTATTTTGTGTTGTTTTTCTTATTCATGGTAATCTCCAACTGTCTTTCTTATTTTTTTCTACATATCTTGTCTTGTTACTTATTCATCTTTATCTTATTTATTCTGTAGTTTGAAATGTTTTGCTTTTCCTTTCATTTTATTTTTTGACTTCATAAAACTGACTTCTGCTATTTCAATCAATCAATCAATCAATCAATCAATGTTTATTTATATAACCCAATATCACAAATGTTACATTTGTCTCAGTGGACTTCACAGTTTGTACAGAATATCAGTATGACAACATATTTGAAATCTCATCCATCCTCAATGTCAGTAAGGGCAAACCTTTAGTCCTGCCCATGTTGTATCCCTACATACTTTATTGGCCTTTGAAAAAAGTCAAGCAGTTTCCTTTTCTAAGATTTAACCAGTCACATATATTTTAAAAAGGGTCATAAAGATCTGTTAATCCCAAATTGTGTGACTATTCTCTATCCTATGAAAGAGAAAAGTCACACAACTTGCATCATTATGAATAACATTGAATTACAAAGGTTCATTTCTTTCTGGTTTGATTGTCTTGTTAAATGTTTAAAGTGAGGAATACTGTAAGTCACATATTTCACTAAAGGAACACATTATTCATTTTATTTGTTTAAGATGATTTTATAGGACAGTTTAGCCTCTTTTGGAGAACTAGATTTGAAAGGAGGAGATAGAAGAGATGATTTAATCTGTAAACTCTACAAAATGAGCTAAGCGGTGACCCCACACTTTAGTTCAACTAATCATTTTTTAAAAAACAGTTTTCAATAACATTGACTTTTTTGAATTTCTTGATCATTTTAAAGCAATATTTCATTATGTTTTTATTAGGCTACTTTTATCAGAGAGTGCAAAGGAACTGTAATTACTTTCAGATATTTTCCATCCGCACAGTTTTCATGATGGGATTTATTATAACTTTTGACTGACCTTGGATGTAGGATCACCCAGGTTTAAGTCTAGTCAGAGTGAAAGCAGCAGAATAAAGTTATACCGCAGTTTGCTAGTGTTTCACTCAAGCTGGGAAGGAACTGTGTTTGCTGAGGCATGAGAACACATCTCTGCAGTGTGTGTACTTTCACTGTACGTGTGTTTGAGCGAGGTACAGGGGAGAGAGAGGGAAGAGGAGAGAGGGACCACTGCATTAATAAGTAGTGTGTGTGTGTGTGTGTGTGTGTGTGTGTGTGTGTGTGTGTGTGTGTGTGTGTGTGTGTGTGTGTGTGTGTGTGTGTGTGTGTGTGTGTGTGTGTGTGTGTGTGTGTGACTGCAGTCACATGTGACTGCAGCACAGTGGAACATCAATACCAGCAGCATCACACACACACATGCTGTTCTGGTGAGGTCATCACACACAGACACACCTTGGCTGTCACTGCCAATAATTTGGATGTGTGTGCTGAGTTCAGCTGATATGTTGAAGTGAATATGATGTAACTGAAGCTTTTACAGCACTTCTGGAACACTGACAGACACAGCATCTGTGTTGTGTGGAGCCTAAATGGTTTTAGCTTTAATTTACGAGTTGTAGTCTCGTTGTAATGCAACAGTTTG